GATGGAGTTAGACTGGAAGCAAATGGATGCTCAAGGAGCTGGAAGCTACAGAATAAGGCAGGAGAAGAGCAGTGCTATCAGACCCCTTTGCACAGAAGTGAGGCTGTAGAATAGCCTGAGAATCATATGTTCAGAGGAGAGAGGGATTTACAGTACTTAAATACCTCCCCAGAATTGATACCATGATAGTGTTGCATCTGTCAATGAACTGAAATTTGACATTCTATTAGTGACTTAAAATTGCTGTCTGTCTCCGCGAAGGAGGGGAAGGTTTCAGAGTAGGAAAAAGGGGTGAGAAACTGCAGTAAAACCTCTATGCTTCCATACCGTCAGCATCTCCTGTTTTCAGATCTCCTGTTTACAGATCTTACTAATCCTCTCTTAGAGTTATTTGTCTTTTTATTTCTAACCAGAAATCAGAATACTATTTGTTCCTGCCATTTTTTAGGTAGGAAAGAAAAAGTGGTGACAAGCAGGAAATATTTAAAACAACTAAGTAGAGTATAATGGAAAATAACAATCTTCATTTTGAAGCTAAAGGTGGAAATTTTTGTATTTGGTATCTGATTACTGCTTGCTGTGTTACACATGGTTCACTTTCTTATTGGATTATCCACACCAGGCCAAATGGCAGTCTAAGTTAAAGAAGGCTCTAACATGTATTTACAGTAATTTCTCTGTTTTGGGCTGAGGGTGGGATAGACTTTTAAGTGCTGTCTGTTGATCAAGAGACTACACAGCGTGAGGATGACAAAATGCTGGGAGAGGAAAGAGTATAAATAGAAACCCCACTTCCTTGTTGAGTAGAAGCCAAACTTGTGGTTGAACCTTTATATACAAGAGTTTCTGAGGTCTGGATAGGCAGCTAAAAGCCAATTGTTGAAGATGCCAAAAATTCTGAGATCTGAGGGGGTTGTACATGCTGCAAACTGACCTGGGTGTTTCTTTCCTGGTCAACACCTGTCTGCAGTTTATGGAAAAGAAGAAGGTACTGGTGGAACCTGGGGAATCCAGCAAAGAGAGGAAGAAAAACCTGTGTCTGACCTTCAATTGCAACATCATTCATTTGGACCTGAAAGAGGCGTAATACAACCTAAAAACAGCCTCCCTGGGCTGAGAATTGAGAGTGTCTGGAAAGCAAGATAATTGTCTACTGCTCTCTTCTCAAATTTGAAGATATATTTCCATTGTTTAGTAAGAGAATATTTTTCAGGAAGAAGCATGATTTTTTTCCTGATAAATTCACCAAGTGATCTCCTGTATGTCACTAATTATGCTGCTGATGTTTAAACCAAATTACATTGCACACAACATCCTTCATTACTAATGCTTAGATTCTCAAAATAGTACATGATGTATTAAATACATGACTTCAGTTTTTTTAATATGAGTTTTATGACTAAAACTTTGCATAATGCTTTTAAGCCAAAAGATATATGAGCCAGAATCTAATTGTCTTGTAAAATGAATCATTTTGCCTGTTATCTCTTCATTAAAATACAGCTTTAAACTTGCTCTAGTTCAAACAAATTAATTCAAGAAATCTTATTGCCTGTATTTATCTGGAGGTTAGGCAGGATGATTACAGTGGTCCCTCTGACTTTATCTATCAACATATTTACCATTCAGTTCTGATGAAAGGCTGGATGGGGAGTGCTGATAGCCCTGCCTACTGAGGTTGTGTGTTCTTGATTTTTTTCAGAGCCAGAACTCCACTGCTTAGTTTGGCAAAATTATAATTACATACCTACTTGTATCAGGAATCTGTAAGAGTTTTTTCTTTAGGCCAAGGACTATAAAGTTTAATTTGTAAGGTGCTCAAAATTACCCGTCTTAGGTCCTGCTCCCAAAAGTCTGCTCTCATGTGATGTCTAGGGTTCACCTTCCTCCACCTTCCAAACATCTGGGTAGACAAGAAGAAATTGTAGGGAGAAGGGGAAAATTGCATCAGAGGGAAGCATTTGAGAAGCAAGACTGACAAGGGAAGAGAAACTTGGACTTGCAGTTAAGGAAGAGATTAGAACTGAGGTCAATGGGAAACCAAGGCAAGCTGAGCAAAAAAATTGGGGGTGGCAAAACAGGATGGGTTGGTTATGGCAAACATGATAAGGCTGGGAACTGATAGAGCTAGGAGAGCCTGGGTTTGGGCAGGTATGTGAAAGTTAATTAATCACTTGGGCTAATAGAAATTAGGATGATTAATCTATTTGGATACTTGAAATAGGAACCAAGCAAAGAAGAAAACCAGAAATAGTGTTTTCTCCAGAAGACTGTTCTATTCTCGTGGACATCTTAGGTAGTTTAATCTAGAGCTGCCTATAATTTCATTAACTCAAATAATACTCATCTTTATAAATATTTGTGTGTTATGTTTGCAGGACTGTATAACTGAAAACTTGGAAGGATGCTGAGGTTTTCCCATTTGCACTTTTGTTTTAGCAAGAGATCTGCATTAAAGTTCATTTTACAAAGTCAGCTTGAATTGTGAAAAACTGTAGATAGTATGAACTTGCCACCTGTGGGAGCTGGATGTCAGAGTTTGAAGTGAAAAGATACTTTTTTTTCTCTCCCAGTAAGCTATTCTTGTTCTTTTCTTGTGATCATTTTTACATTTTTGACTTTCTGGTTCTGATTTCAAGCTATCATTTATTTTCATCTTAAGGAAATCTAATCACAGGAAAAAGAGTATATTCCAGATGGCATTAGCACATATCAAATTGATCTTCAGTTTCCTTGAGTATAAAAACTTTCAAGCGCTTTCTAAGGACGATCTGTAAGGACAAAGAGACAGAATTTCCCTTGTAACACTCTTGCTATGCTTCTGCATACACCCGACTATACCCACGTGAGTCACCTCACTGATCTCAATTAGCTGTCCCTTTGCTGCTGACCGGCTAACCGGCTCTGCCCTTTCACTCCAGATTAGGCTTTGTCCAGCTAGCTGCAGCCTGCTCACATCTTCACGAGGCTCCCTGCAGCCAGCACAAGTTCCCCTGACAAATCCTGATCTCAGGGAGGGGTATCCTGTGTTTTTCCTCCTGCATCTTTTATTGAATGTAGGACTGGGAGGGAGCACAAAAGGTCATTCATCCTCCTTGTGTTGGCAGGACTGAAAGCATTCATAACAGATGTTTCTTCAACTTCTTTTGAAAATCCTTCAGAGGTGGACATTCTGCTGCTTCCTCAGGTAGTTGATTCTTAAGCAGCCTTGCTTCTGGTGAAGCTGATCTTGCTAAATTTGCTAGTTTAAACTTGTTTGCAAATGTATCAAAATCATCCCTCAGTCTCTCCTTCCTGCATCTGCGGACTATTTTCATGCCTCCTCAAGTTTTTGCAACATTTCATTGCATTTACAAGGCCACAGTTAGTTTTTCTTTGCAGTCGTCTCCTTCATTAGGCATGTAAACTAAAGGTCTGATGGAGTTTATTTTCATGGCCATTACTTATATCATTATAGGTGCTTACGAATTTTGTTTTCTTGGAGTACTGTGGGGAAGAAGTGCAGATGAACTGACTCCTAATCTCCTTTGTTCTCTTTTTTTCCACTCCTCCCACTCCCTTTCTTTTTTAGAAGAGATGATGTGAATGCGAATACTTTGGAGTATTTTATATAGAGAATTACCAGTTTACCAAGAAGCATTTTTCAGTTCCAGAAAGGATTGTGAGAAGCTTAGACATAAATGGAGCTAGTATGCACTAGTGACCTACAGTTATTAAAACACATTAAAAGCATACCCAATGACTAAATGTCTCTACTTGTTTTTATAAGATATTTTACTAGGTACTGCAATGTACCCAAGGGTCCTTTGGGGTGTATGACAGCTTGGTGCAGGGCTGCATGGCCCCAGGTGCCACCAGCTTCCAGGCTCATTGGGCATGGGCAGAAGCTGGCCGCTGTCCTGATGGGCTCTTCCAGGTGCCCTGCTTCTAGCAAAGCCACAAGCACAGGCTTACCAAAGGAGTAAAACTAAAGTAACGTGAACCTTTTCATTTAGAACTGTGGCTGCAGGACACTTTTTAAGAATGCAGACTTTCAAAATAATCTGCTGCAGAAAGCACCATCCATTCAAATAAAAATAAAACCAGAATTATGCAGCTGAATCTTTTTCATCTCTCTACGTTGTTTCTTACAAACTATTTGCTGAGTAGCACTAACAGCATAAGGAGATAAACCACAGGATCTTCACAGTTTGTTGTGCAGCCTCTCTCAGACAAAGACAATTACAGAAGATAGTGGGTTGGTTTGGGTTGTTTTTTTTATTGGTAGATTTGTTTTACTACCTTCACATTTTTGAAAAAGTTACTAATGTTACTTCTCTCTCTAATACCACTTAATTACTCTGTCAGTTTATTGCTGAGGGCTGCTCATCTGAGATTGGCACCAGCTGCAGTTTTTTAAGTAAACTGGTATCGGTGTTGTCAGTGCCATCCTGGGCAGAGGTAGCCATGTCCATGCTGTGGGAGAAAAGCAGTGGCCAGCCTGTCCTCCAGTAATTTTCCTGGATGGACAAAACTAGGGATCTGCATATGCTCTGCATGCGTTACGCCTCTGTTTCGGCACTCGTGCTCAGATATGCCCTGTGCAGAGCCTAGGTTGTAAATGAGAATGGAGTGGCCACACGTGTCCTAGTTTGACCTGGGCCTGAGACATAACTGACACATGCTCAGCTGTGGCCATTACACCAGATCCTCCCACTGTTATGTCTCCTCTGCTTGAGGTGTTGCCACTGTTAAGACTTACTGGTCCTAAAGTCTTCAAAAAGAAACGCCCTGCTCCCTTTCTGTTTCTCTGTAACTTTAACTGTTAGAGACATATTTACTTGCAGTTTTTAGAGACTGCTTCTCAATGCTTGTGTTCAGTGTAAAATGTAACTTGGGCAACAGAGTTTTCCCTTTCTAAAGAAATTGTGCAATTTGATTTTAGGAAGACTTAAGATGTTTTCTTCCTCCCTGAGATGAAGGATTTTAGTGACTTAATAGGTATTTTCTGACTTTGATAGGTGACACAGCTGATGACCAAAATAGAGAGGCAAAGGACAAAGCTTCATTTCCTGAGACCAGACCAGTGTACAACCAGCCTCCACAGGTAGGAGACTGCTACTTTACTCATGCATGAAGAAGCTTTGATAGCAACTCATGTGAGAAGTGTGAATGTGCTGTAGAAGGTTTCAGCATGTTCATATATGTTGATTAAGTGCTAACTCAGCCTTTCTTGCCATCCATCATAAAAGAAGCATTATTAAAATTTAGGTGGTAATACTATAATGACCACCAATATTGAATGGAAAAAAATGCAGATATAAGGCTGGACTGTGTGGTTATTGCTGTGTATCTTGTTTTTATACTTGAGATTTGTAACAATGGAACTGTGGCTAGGGTGTTAATGAATTGTGTACAAGTATTAGTGCAGTGATGGAAAATGTCAGACGTTTACATAAGTTATTTCCACAGCCACCTTTGTAACTCACATGTTGTAAACGTGTGAGTATAATGGACTTTCTTCACTGTGTTTGCTTTCTGTTTCAGTGCTATGTGACTGTAAATATGAATGTCCTCTTGTTTATTTAATATTTAATCTATGTATACCTTTCCAAAAGATTTCAGCATATAGCCTACGTGCATTTTTTTCTGCTTTAAAAGTGCTTTTGCAATAAGCATGAGCCTGTTTTCCATTGCTACATAATCTTAGACATTTACAAGATAACATTTCACTTTATTTTTTGTTGTTTTTGTGGCACTGTTTTTTCCCCTTAATCCATTATTTCCCTGTCTCTTTCTCATATCAGAACTAACCATATCTCTCTCTCATCCCAGCACCATTGTAGCATTATTACTGCTAAGCCCTTGTAAGCCTTTGGAGTATCAGAGGTGTGTGTGTCACTTTGCTAATCTAAGATTGGGCAGTGCCTGTGGGGGCGCACTCTAGATTCTCATTTTTAATTTTTAATTAAAAACTGTGCCTTATATGGAAATTTTTCATTCACCATCCGTGAAAGCTTTGCCTTTTGATAACATAGGATTATAAATCAGCTCGAGTTAATAGCAAAACTTTAGTCTGATTTCTGAATCCAGGCACATCTGAGCAAAGTGTTTTGCCATTTTGAGGAGGTAAAATGCCATGGTATTGTGGTTACTGACTGCACAGACATAGTTTCTCTTATTGTGGTGTTCTCACTAGGTGTTGTGAGCTGCCAGTGACTGCAGTTCTGTGGAGCTTCAGAGTAGGAACTGCATGCTTATGAGTTAGAGGAAAGAAGCAGTTTTCAAAATAAAATAGCAAGTGTTACCATGAAAATAGAATAAATATTTATTTTTTATATTGAAAGGCTTACATGTCACCAAAATGCTTGTATGAATCAACGCCAGTTAAATTGAGAGACAGCATTTTAATTCCAGTCTCTGGATTTCATGTGTTTGAACTTCATGTTTACTTGGAGGAGTTCTCAATTTCTCAAATTGAATAGAGACCATGGAAATGAAATTGATAGGTTTGGCTCTTAGGAAAGCAATATTTCTGTTTACAGCAGTGAGTGTATTTTTATAAATTTGTGGGAGAAATCTACCAATTTAAGAAAACTGGAAAAGCGTTTTTATGTACTCAGTATGTCCTAGAGGCGTGGGACATTAATTGAAATAATGAACTTGTTATCATTAAAACAAGAATACTTCAGAAACATAGTACAGTACGTTGAAATAGATTTGTTAAGCTGCAGTGTAATACCAGATATTTTCCATGCATAGTTGAACAGTAAAGTTGCTGGAAATTTGCTTCTGTTTTAACACATTATACATTTGACAACTTAATAGGTGTTGACTTTGTGGAACATGAATAGGTTCTTTTAGAAATATGATTTAAAGAATAAAGTCATGCTTTGTTTATGGGTCACTTCCTTATCTGAAAAGGAAATGAGGTTGTTGCGTTTGATTTTTGAAGAACATGTTTTCTGGAGTATGTTTTTGTAACCATTGTAGTCCTTGGAATTTCCCATTTAGGTACTACTGGATTCATTTTCTGCACAGCTATTGAATTCTCAAGTACATATGTTTGTGCAGTGTTGCTGTATTTATATAAAACTAATGCACAAATTAAATCTTGAGACAAGATTGTTTTGCTGCAACTTCCAACATTTAACAGAAGCTCCTGTAGCAATGGCAGTCCCTGCAATCTGCGTTGTTTTGTGAGGTTTCCATGTTGCGTGTGGTGCTGTTAGAGGAACTGCAGGTATCTGCAGCCTCGTTGGTGTTTTCACTGACCAGCTTCACTCTGCTATACAGTGGAGACAGAATCTCCTGCTGTGAAGAGTCCCACGTAAAGCATCTTCTCCATCACCAGCTTGCAAGGGTTCTGATGCCCGCTTAATCCTAGGGAACTTGGAGGTCAGGCAGGGTAATGAGCGCTCTGGGCACAGTCAAGCACACAGCACCCACAGGTGTGCACCATCCCCATTAGCATGTGCCATCCCACAGAAGCTGCTTCAGGCTTGTGGACTACAAGTTGCATGCATGTTTAAGTGCTTTTCTGGATGTGGGCCAAAGTGCTCAGTGCTCTGCAGGACTGGGAACTTAGATTTGTCTCTTCGTGACAGTGAAACGCAAAGCATCTAGTTGTAACTGCAACACCATCACGATAGAGAGATTATGGATTGTTTTTTTCATGCTTGTGGGTTTTCCATTCTAGATAATTCAATCTTTATCTGCTTTCATTGGGAATTCAAGGTTACAGAAAGTAACCAAATGGAAGTGTATAGGTTTGTATATGCAGAGTGCTAGAAGCCCCCGTAACGTGATGGGGTTATTTTTTGTAATGAGCTGTTCCACTGGTAGAGCAAATTAGTGCAACCGTGTGTTTTTGTCCTACTGTGAGAGCAATTATATAGCGTGTCTATTAGGAGACATGAAAAATATTTTTGACAGATGGTATGGCTGTGAATTAGGATTTATGAAGATTATTGTATGTCTGGTGTGCAGGGCACCTGGGATTATTACATTGATGCAAGAAAGAAAAAAAAATCTGATAATAGTTGCAGTGTTTTGCATCTCCCTACTGTCACCTTAAGAAGCAGTTCATGTTTATTTGATATGGCACTTCTGGATAATCTGACGTACGCTCTTTAGCCAACACATGTCAGCAGATTTAATGGGTGGAAACCATACCAGTAAGTGTATTAAAATAAACCACCAAAAATGAGAGCTGTATTTAGATTGTGAATTAAGATTTTTTCTCTTATTGCGTGTTGGATTTTGGTTTATTTTATAGTCCTATTTCTCCTTCAGATACTCAATTGGTATTGCCTTCTATCTAAGGAGCTTTTTACATGCTTTCTAGGGCAAGAGAGAATCCTCCAAGGGATTGCTTAATCCATAAGTACCTAATTTATATGTTGTTGTTATAGCCACTCTTAATTATATACCTTGCTGTGATACTTATCTTCATAGGACATAGCCTTTGTTATGAATTGCAGTCATTCTGTTATAGCTCTTGTGACCTTTCTTGGCATAATTTAATATTACAAACTGGGAATGTAGCAGATAGAAGGGCCATGTTTCCTGAAGTAAATTTACAGTTATCCATGGCTTTTTGCATGGAGACACTGCACAGTGCACTGTTTTGGCTGAGTTCCCAAATAAATTAGAAAAAAACCCCAAACTTTTGTATCAGAATTTGCAGATAATATCCTCATTACATTGATCCCTTTTAAAGCTCTGCTATTTAAGGATTCTACATAACTGTAAATAGCAATTTCTTTGGCTGTATTTGTTAATGGGAAAGACAGAAGATATAAAATGTCAAGGAAGAGATAGTGGAGGTTGAGCGCACAGTAAAAAAGTGAACAGAAAAGAATTTATTGTTACTTTTACTGTTCTGAAGAAAGTCTTGCTGAATGTGTTAGACTTTTAAGATCTCCTTTAGAGCAGATCACCTGGCAATTGTCTGATATAATTCCAGGATACGAATAATGCTAATGTTACCTTCTTTTCCTTTTAAATATATGTGTATACTAATTCGTTCTTCCAGACCTTGTATTGTCCAGTTTTTACAAACCCTGGCTGTCGTGAATATTTTTACAAGTTAGCAGAAAACGAGGTATTACTGATGGTGCCTTCATTTAGTCAGTCACCCAGCTCATAGTTTTCCATTCAGAGTTCCTGCATTTAAAGGCTCAGAATGGATGTTCTGGGTCAGTTTTACTGCATCATTTTAAATTCCCCACTTTTGCTTTAGAGAAAGTGGTTGATATATCAAAATCATTACAATTATTGGCCAGTGTTTGTGGTTAGTCTGCTCCACTCTGACAAATGATAATGTTTATAGAAAATGTTATTAAAAAAAGAAAAAAAAAAAAAGAGAGGAAAAAAAAAAAAAAAAACCTTCTTAAGCTGGGATTCTAGCTGTGTCCTGGTTAGATTAATTGCTTGTCATATGTCGTATTAACTACAAGTATTTCTTCTTCATCTATAAAGCCCTTAAAGTGTGTTGGTTCATATTTTCTCTCTTCTTAATTGGGCATGTAAGCAGTAATCACTTAATGAAATTATCCACTCTTAGGAGGGACTGGAATAAGATTGTAACATCAGGTCATCAAGCGCATACTTTTCTCTGAATGCTGGTGCCTTCAGAAGAAAGATCTGCTTTACTCGACTCTTGTGTATGAGTTTTAGCTATAGGAAGTGAAGTTTTTACAAACTTTTGAAGAGATTAATCGTTTTCAGTGTTGATATTTTGCAATGAACATCATCGTTCGTAGCTCCCTCCATTCCATGCATGTATGATACGCAGCTGGAGGACTTGCATTTACTGTGCAGACACAGATTGAGAATCCCTTCAAAGCAGAGCTACTGTATGATAAGGAAGTCACACTACGTGGTTGAGATCTTACTGGGAAAGAAGGTAAACAGCCCAGTCAGCTAAAAATCAGCTTTTACACTCTAATAGCATCTGAACTTCATAAAGCTTAATTACACTGTTTGTATTGCTACCTACTTGATAATCAAAATATCTAAGGGGTCTTCTCATACTAGGAAGATCTCCAGAACGTACTGACCAGGGGACTTCTGCTTGCCATCCACAGGTGGGCAGCCTGGGGG